TGTTGTTATCAGGCATGCAGTGGGTGTTCTCCTTGTGATTTCTGGTCTTCATTAAAGGCACCCAGGATGAGCTTTTTCCAATGGGACTTTTCATACCCAGCTCATTGCCATGCCTAGTGGAAACTTTCACATTCCGAGGGTGGTAGGATGGGGCAGAAACACGTTTGCAGGGGGCAAAGTGCCCCCTGAATGAGGGTGCACGCAGTGGCTCTCCCAGGAGGATGCACGTTTGGTGGGGACCATGATCCAAAGCAATGACAGGACGTAGACATTTTCTCCCTGCTATTTCTAATGGGATTAAAGTAAAGCATGGCGTTGAGGAAGCCCAGGGTCTGGCACAGCTCTTGGTCATCTCAGTTCAATCCCTCTGCTCCTCTCTCAGCCCCGGGGTCACCTCATAGCAAATGATTCCTTTACTCTGTTCCTGCAAACTATGTGGCAAAACACGTGTTGCAGGGAAAGCAATAGCAACCACAGGCACAAATGCACCCTTTTTTTCCTCTCTTGGATGAAAATAATTCATGTCAGGGGTCACTTAAGCTAAATACTGGCCAGTAATGCCCTTTTTTTTTTTTTTTAAGGTCAAGTTTTTATTAGAACAACATCAGCCAAACCAAGTTACCAGCTAATGTCACTGCTGCTTCCCAGCACTCCCTGACCCCGAGCGGTCCCATCCTGAGCAGGCACCATCCCTTCTCAGCTGGTTAAACATCACACTTTACCAGCTGCAAAGGTCCTCGAGACCCTTTCTTCCCGAAGAGGAGAGGCAAAATACAGCACCCATGTGCAGCTAATCCAAGGGTTTTTAGTCAAAGTTTCCAGTGGAGAATGCCCATCGCGTGCTCCAGCTGGTGCCCTGGTGCTGCTGGGAGCAGGGTCAGGATCTTGGGCTGCTCCAGCCTTTTTTTCCCACGTCTTCAGCCCATGCACGAGTCCCGCCCCAGCCCGTAACTCTTTGCCGAGATGCCTTTGACAGAGGGGAGCTGAGCTAGTCTCCTGACACGGGGCTGTCCCGGCTCTGCGGAGATAAAATAAATATTTAGCTTGAAAACATCTAACAGTTTTCAAAGAGCCCGGGGTAGCCCCAGCCTGTTTAGACTGTGCGCATAGCAAAGGGCGCCAATGCCTTTAATCATCGTCATATGTATTCGGTGCTTTTATCTGGAGTTCTTCACAGTCTCCTCCACGGAGAGGCTTGTCCTGTTCTTCTCTGCTTTACAGATAAGGAAACGGAGGTGCCGCCAGCAAGGGCTGGATTCGCGCCGGCTCCTGAGGATGGGTGTCCAGGGCGCTGTGTTTCAAGCCAGCCTACTTTGTGTTTCCTCTTCAAGGTCAAGAAGAGAAGTGACAAGGCATGAGCAAGAGTCTCATCTACCTTTCCCTGCTGGTGGTGGTGGTGGTGGTGGAGCCCAGCCTGGCCGGTGCCCGTATCTCAGTATCCCTGCCCATATCTCGCTATACGCCCATTGCCTCCGGCTGCAGGCGGGCAATGGGTTTGCAAAATTGCTCCAAATTGCAGATGAAAGGCAATCCTGCTTTCTTCTTTGGTGCTTTGCATCACAGTGTAACACCTATTCTCTCCAGCAGGCTCGATTTTGTTTATTTATTATTAATTTTCACAGACATTCTAATACAAAGTAATTAGTATACTGAGGATAGCATCAAGCCAAGAAGAAATGAGGGTGTAACACCACGTCTCCTCTGCCCGGATGCTCTGGTTTTTGGGAGCCCATCAGGAGAGCCTGCCTGAGCTCCGTAGCCAAGGGCACGGTGAGGGGATGGTGGTAGCCTGGGGCTACAGGCAGGACAGGCTCCCGGACACACTGCCTGGAGCACCTTCTGCTGCCTGCCCCGAGCCCAGCATCTCTTCCACTCCCGTGGTGGCTGAGGAGGAGCCAGCTGAGCCCTAATCCAAGAAACGAGACATGTTTTCCTCTGGGCTTTATTGACAGCTTGATCCAGGGTCTTATAATCCCATTTTTAAAAAATTCCTTTTGAATTAGCACATTTGCTCTCCCGGTTCAAATGCATATTTCCCCTGACCCACAACTTCTTCCATGCAACATTCTTCCAAATCAGATTTTCCCAGGGACTTTTACTGAAAACAACTGTCTTGCAGCTTCAGCAGCATCCAGCCCAGCCGACACAGCCCTCTGGAGAAAATGTTGCTAAAATGATGGGTCATCCTTGGATGGAGGCTGCCAGGCACAGAGCAGGAGGGGGACTGAGCAGCAGCTGGCCTCAGCCAAGGGAAGGAGGCATTCTCAGGCATCCCTGGACTCAGTGCTGGGCTTGTCCACCCAATGGTGGTTTGCAGATCACCCTGCTTTTCCCTGTCCCCCTATTTATCCACAGCACAAATCCCTTCAGAGGATGATAAGTGTAAACCCATCTTTTGGTATCAGAAAGCAACGTATGCCTTCACATCCCAGGAACCACATCATGCCTGGCTTTGCCAGCTCCATCCATCTTCCAGCCCCACGTGAAGATGAGGTGACTGAGGGACCTCGGGTCACATCCAAGGCTGGGTTAGGAGACAACATGGATGTTTGCCAGGGCCCTGAATCGTCTTTTCAGAAACAAAACCAATTTTTCAGGCTTTGGGTTCTTAAGGCCACCAGCTTTCCAAGAAATTTTAAATCCAGTAAAATTCACTCAAATCCCATAATCGCTCATGGAAACAAAAGCCGGACCGATTATTTTTGCTAGAGAGTTGGCAGGTTTCCAGGTTCATGAAATGCAGCTTTGCTGAAAGAAAATCTCTTGTGGGCAAAACCGCCTATCAGTGGTTTTTAAAAACAAATGAAAATAAGGTATTGCAGAATAAATAATACTCAAACAAACAAGAAATCATCACAACAAAACCCAATCGCAAGACTCATTCTGTCTGGAGAACAAAATCATCCTGATTCTGATGATCTGGTCTTCATTCCAACAGATTGGATCAAAATGCCACCTAAATCAATGGAGTAAAAGCAGAAATCTGGAAGACAAGCAGCAGCATCCCTGCAACTGTTGGTTATAGCCAAAACTTTACTAAAAAAAAAAAAAAAAAGGCCTTTAAAAATAGCCTTGGGGATATCTTTAGCCCCAAGGTCGAAAGGGGAAGGTTCACACTTATTTTTCATCCCTCTTTCCCCTCCTCCAGCTAAAAGAAAAAGGGGCAGAAGAGGTATTTTTAGACTCCTGTTCCTGCACAGATGCAAGGAAAGGCCACTTTTCCCAAAGCTGGCTGGAGCTCTGCCTGCGCCAACTCCTGGGAAATAGTACTTGGAGAGGGTTTTGGGGACCAGGAGCTTATTTGTGGGTGGCCATACAGGGGTTGGGCTTAGCTCAGCATAATCACGTTCCGCCGTTGCCAGGGGCTTTCATACAGGGAGGTCTGCAAGATTAACTGAGTGCTGCTGTGGCACCTCATCACCACTCAGAAACAGACCTCTGAGGCTCTTCTTGCAGCTCATTTTGGAGTGGTGGGAGCGGGGTGAGGAGCAGCACCTGGGCCTGGTGCTACTCACGGTGAGGTGGCCACAGGGAAGGGGCTCACACACCCTCCTCACCCCAGCTGCTCCTCAGCTCTGGGGTGCAGGAATGGGCAGGAAGACAGCTTGCTCCCTGATGCCATTGCTCTTCTCCACACCTTTCCCAAACCCTTAACAATCTCCTGGAAGTGCAAGGACTCAAACTGCACAAAGCCCTCAAGATGCAGGTGCATGAGAGCTTTTGAGAGGCTCAAGGGTGTTCTCAATTTTACTCCTTTCCTAACCATCCACAATATATGGCTTGCCTCTGCTGCTGCCAGATGTGGAAATATTTGGGTGAGAACAGCTACCATAGCTCCAAGCTCTTGCAGGTGAGCAGCAGGGGCCAGCTCAGAGCATGTCACTTGAAAGGTGAAGCGCAACCTTTCCCTGTTTTTCCCTTATGCAATCTGCAACTGAACTTCATCCATCATTTCTACTGTCCACGTTTGGTGTCGTAAGAGCTTTTTGCAATTCCCCAGTCAACCTTCTCCTTTAGCCCATCATCAAACCAAACCATCCCCTGTTTTTTAATGACTACATTGTCTAGCCTAGGTCTACCATGGCCACCAGCAACCTCCCTTCCTGGAGAGAAACACCTCCTCTATTCCCCAGCTTTAATAACTTAAGGGAGGACATTGCCTTTTATGCTGTATCTCTTGCACTTCTTTAGAAACCAGTGGCAATGTAAACCAGTTGCCCCTTACCTACATGCTTTTTGAGTCCTTCAGAGAACTGGAGAGGTGCGAGACATAACTTGAAGCCCCATTGACTCTCCCCAGCTATTCAATACAATAATTGTAGCTGTGGTATAGTTTCTAGTCATTGGGCCAGTACAGACACCAGGTAGAGAGAGGGAGAAAGCCCCTGAAGGCTTTGTTTGATGGTCTGTGGAAAGGTAGTGCAGCTACCCTGGTCCAGGAGCTACTTGTGAAGCTCTTGCTTGGGAGGATGCAAAACCTGCCAGGGCTCCCTGTGCGTTCACTGCTACCCAGCCTTACACCAACCATGCACCTTGCCCAGACCCCTCAAATCCACGTGGCAGGAGATTTAATTCCAGATTTAATTTCATTAAAAGAAGGCAGCTTACAGAGACACCACTGGGACTTTGCTAGCTGAGCTCCCTCCGGGGAGGGAGAGCTTATAAAATAGAAATTTAATGAACAGGGTGCTGGGCAGAGGAGTTTAAGTCTTACATAGGAATCTAAGCCATACACAGGAAAATGCATCACCCAAGTTTTTGGCCTCTAAGGCTGAGGAAGGCACAACCAGTGGAAGCTGCCACACCTAGGAGAACCCCAGGAAGAGCAAGCGGGGCAGCTGGCTCCAGCAAGGGACCAGGACCCAGGAACCAAGTGAGGAAAGAGTTGGGGCAGTTGCTTTAGAAGACTTACAGAGTTAGTGGAAGAGTGGTAAAATTAGCCAATTCATTTGAAAATAAAACAGTGTGATGGAATGACAAAAAGAATCACATTTCACTGATTTTGTTTGTTAAGTGTAAACAACGGCACACTTTATTTTAGAATAATTCACCTTTGTAATAATATTGCAAGATTTTCAGCATTTGAAAGTGCCTGCCATGCAGGAGCTCTTTCCAGACACCAGTGAGGCACCATCAGCCCTTGAGCAGACACAGGTGATGGAGGCAGCGGTCTGACAGCTCAGTCAATCCACTTTTGTGCTTCCTTATAGTAATAGTGAAGCCATATGAGAAAGCACTGATCCAGGATGAACTCACTCTACTGGTTCAAATAATTTTTTTTTTCCTTCCTTAAACAGGCATCCTTTGAAGCAGCAGGCTTTACCCCAGACCAGGTGTCACCTCACCTGTATGTCTAACCTCCTGCCAGAGTGGCTACAACCCATCCTCTGGCAGGAGGCATGTGGCCAGCAATTAACTTAACTGAGAAAGTCAGGAAAAAACCAACCAACCAGGGCAGAGGCCCAGAAACCTTACTGGCTTCTGAAAAGTGAACACATCTTCAGTTTCTAGACCTACTTCCAGTAGATTGAAGGCTTGCAATTGTGTGATTAGTATTCAGTCATTCCTCCTCCCCTCCTTGGAGCTGACACTGCAAAGGCAGATCTCTGGAGCTGTGAGATCTGTTCCCATCATGATGGAGAGAAGCAGGGAAAGGAGGAATTGCTGCCTGGGGAGCTGCTCACACCACCAGGGCTTGCAGATAGCCAGCTGGGAATGGCCAAAGGAACAACAGACCTCCTGCTGCCCACCTCTGCTCCCAGGGACAGACTGCTTAGAGCTGCATTTCAAGAAAAACAAGCTACCAAGGAAAAGAATGTGGGCAACTGTCTGTGCAAGCCTGTCAAGTGCCTGGTGGCAGCCCAGGAGCGGACGGGCAGAGCTCAGTCATCACAAAAGGTGATCATCGGGCTGTTCAGCTGAAAAGGACTTTTTCCCTGCGCTGATCCAGAGTCAAACCAAATGAAGGAGGGCGCGGGTTCAAGGTGGGGCTGGCAGTGAGAAGCTGATCTGAGGGAATGTGGCAGCAAACACAAGCCACCCACATTTAGAATGGAAAGAGTTAGAGAAGAACGCAAGGCACTGGAAGGAAGAACCAGCAGATGGCCAGCTCTTTTTTTTTTTTCTCCCTTTAACGTGTCTGCCACAACATACCAGAGGTCTCAGGCCACTGTGCCTGATGGGTCTGGGGTTTCCGATGCTTCCAGTGGTCTCTTACAGTGTCTCCACGTCACTAGTCCCAGCCGCACAGCAAAGATCAAGCACGTTGTCCCCAGCAGAAAAACTAGAGAAGAAACACAGAAGCACATGAGTGCACGAGAACGAGTCAGTGCCGCTTGTCACACCCCAGCTCCCAGGGAAAGATGAAAAAAAAAAAGCCACCCCAAAAACCAGACTTCCCTTGTATAGGAGCCATTACGCCCCTCCATCAGTTATATTTCACAGAGTTTTGCTGCTACCCAGTCAAAAATCACCCAATGCTTCCAGGTCAAGGCATGTCTAAAAGAGGGAGGGCTTTATGGACACAGGAATAAAAACTCATTGACAAAACACTCCAAGAATAGTTGAACGACATAAAGAAACACGCAGTAGTTTGGGAAAAGCATTCTTGCCCTACCAGCCAAACAAGCTGAACATCACCGGGAGATGAGTCTCCAATGCCCTCATGCCTTTGGCAGACAAGCTCTGCTAAATCCTGCCGGGTGCTTTTAGGTGTTACCAGGCTCCAGCTGCCCTTAACAGCAAAAGGGAACACTTACTGGAGTGGCAGCCCAGCAACTAGCTTTGGCCACCATGTACATGATGGTGGGGAGCCTTCAAGGAACATGCTCCCTTCTGCTGACCCTATGGTGGAAACAGGCATCTCAAACTGCTACAGCAGGACTCAAGAGTTCACGCAGCCCTTTCATACCAGCACAAACCCACCCATAACAGCACAGCTTTTGCCAGGCTGTGACTGCATATTCAGACAGCTTAAGCCCTTTTACAATGAATGACTACGCTTGGCTAGTGGCCTGCAGCAGCCAAATAATCCCGGGGAAACTTGTTAAGGCTAGCCTGAGCTCTGTGTAGGAGGGGAGCACGTGCAAGGTTTCACATTGTGAAATTTAAATACTGCCCCTCCTTGGGTCAGGAACTTACACACTACTCCTGTACCCCAAATGATATAGGGCAAATGGAAGCCCACAGCCCTTATCCCAACCCTGCTCTTCCTTTGGCCTGCCCTGTATCAGTTGGAGCCACCAGCAGAGGACCCAAGGGGGTGATGGAGAACTGGAGGGGCAAACATATTGCCCTGGGAAGTGAACTTGAGGCAAGACAAGGCCTGAACCCAGCCCCAGAGCTCATGGGCGATGACTTCTGCCCTCCTCTTCGCTTTGCAAAATGAAGACCTTCTAATAAATCCCTAGTTCTGCTTTTAATAAATAGCACTTTTCAAAGGGCAAGTCTCTCTTTCTGGCCCTAATACACAGGAAAGATGTGGATGTGTTTATTGGCCTTCTTTTAAGAGTTGGGCACAGTTCAGAAGAGTCACCTATAAAAATGTCGTTCGTCGTTGGGGATGAAAACGAGACGTTCTTGCATGTGCTGCCAGTCAGAGCTATTATGACCACTGGGTAGATTGTAAGGTTATAGCGAACATACTTGTCAAGAAAGAAGTTTTCTAGACAAAACCTGTAAAGAAAAAAGAGTGACCAGAGTAAGCATTGTCTCAGTACATTTTTTTTTTCCCATGGGAAGTTTAAGAAAGGAATTGGACAAAGAATGTGTTGTTTGTTTTTTTTTCACAAGCCAGTTTGGACTAGAGTCCAAAATCGTTAGTTTACTAAAATTCAGAAGATTAATAAAAAGTCAGCTAAGGTAAGTTTAGGGAAAAAAATAAAGCTGTGTTTTATATGTTTTCCACATCAAGCCCTCACCTGCACACCTAGTGCAGGTTGCGCTCATGCAAGTCAACAGAAGCCTGTTCCTGACCCACAGCATGTCCTTATTGGCGTTGCTGAGGGTGAGAGAAGAAAAGCTCTGCCCAGGCTCACTGCTCCCATCACGAATTTTAACAGAGGCCTTTGTCCTCAGTGTCAGTACAGGCACAGATGACCCAACTTGTTTGTGAGAGACGGAAGGGTCTTCCAGGCTTGGTGGGAACCCAGGAAGTTGCTTACCATATTACTAGGATAAGAGCAAGGATGCTTAGAGAAACAGTTGTCGCCATCTCGTTGGACACATTCCACTTGTAGATTAAGACAATGGCAAAGTTGAGCAGAGTGGCGATGGTGGTCCACGTTGCGTACAGCGCCAGCCCGTTCTGAACCTGCCACAGAGCACAGCAAAGTGACAAGCAGTGACAGAAAAAGGTAATTCCTGTTTGTCTTTTGTGACCCATAGGTTCTGGGGTAGTTAAGCCAGCCTTCTGGACCTAGCTGCAGGAAAAGTCCCTCAACATGGATAGGAGCTGAAGCCTTGGAGACCCCAAAGTGCCCCAGAGACCCACACCAATAGCAGCTGCAGAATTCCCTGTGCAAAGCCCCCCAGCAGGGGCTTCCCATCCACACCCCAAAGCACGGAGCTCAGCCCAATCGGGGCAGGCTACTGGAACTGGCAGAGAGAACAGGTTTTGAATCTCAACAGCCTCCCAGCAACCGTCTTTGCTACATAGAGCCTGCAACAAGCAATACCAAGTGCTGGTGTCACTTCTGAGTGAGGATGGGGAGCCCAGCTACTCCCATTTCTGTGTTATACCAGTGTCTGAGGAACCACAATATAAGGGTGTAAAGAACAGAGCCTGCTCCCAGTTTCTGCCAACAGAAGTAGACACATCCCTGGAGATGTCCAAGGCCAGGTTGGATGGAGCTTTGAGAAACCTGGTCTGGTGGGAGGTGTCCCTGCCTAGGGCAGAGGAGTGGAACGAGATGATCTTTAAGGTTCCTTCCAATTCTAACTGTTCTGTGATTCTATGACACATTTCCAGCAGAGTTGGTAGGAACTAGAACCTCCCATATTTGCAGACTTCCCCCTCCACCAAAAAACCTCCTGACCCACTTTCCTCAGTGAGCAATGCCAATATCAAGCAAAGGAACAAAGATGCTTAAAGCACCATGGGAAAACAACCATGGGACAAACTGCAGTGTGAGGTGTCCAGGGTGGGGAGCAAGGAAGGGTTTGGGGGTAGCAGGTTTGAAGTAGGAGAGGCACGAGGAGGGAGTCAAGGAGTGGTGGAGCACGAGTATGTTTATCTTATTTTGTCTGCGTGAATTGTTTGGCAAACACACACCTACTCATCTCAGAAACAGCAGAAAAGTAATTTTCTTCCAAAACTTGTTAAAACTCAGAAAGGTAGTTGCATTTGAAACCTTGAGCGGTGTACCCTTCCCCATACAAGAACTACATTTTTTTTTTTTTTTGGTCATCAGATACTGGGGACTTCACCATCAGCTACAGAAGCCACCTTCAGCAATGGCTTCACCCTCTGCAATTATCTTTTATTCTTAATACCTTCAGCACAGGGGTTTTTCTTTTTCCTTAGCATTTACCAACAGCACAGTTTCCCAAATGCCACCTACTAGGATGCGGATGAGCCAGAGCTCAGCTTTGTGACCCTTCACAAACCACGAGGAATGGATGCTCAGCGCTCGGTGCGAGATGAAGAGGGCGGCACACGTGGTAAAAGTCAGGGCTGCCAGGAACACCAGGGCTGGGAGAAGGTATCTAGGACAAAGAATACATGCATGCACACAGCGTACAACTTTTTTTTTTTTTTTAGTGGTGTCACAATGCCTTAATTCATAGCTTTAGTGCCTGGTCTGTACTGACTTTAAGTTAATCAGCCTTTAATGAAGGTAATCACTACATGTAACCCTCATTTTGACATACTGCTGGTTTACTTTGTAAATCGAAAAGTTATTATTTTCCTGACTGCAAGTGATTTCTTCACCTTTTGACAGCAGTGCTATTATAAGTCATTCATGTGACCATGATTATTAAAACTATCCCGGGCAAGGAGCTTAACTGTGTTTACAAAGAGAGGTATGGCTCTTGTCCTACCTGTGGCAGAAAAAAAACCCCCAAAACACCACCTTTGAGGAGACCTTAGACCTCAATAACTGATCCATCTCATGGGCAAGATGGAAGCATCATACAAACCTCTAAACTTTTATGAAGGCTACCTTTTGCCAAGGTCTGCCATGGAGTTCGGCAGGTATAGTTAAACAGGAAGGGGCAAAATGAAGCATTGGGAGATTCCCAACAAGAGGGTTAGGAAACATCCGTAGCAAAAGGTGACTTACTCTCGGTCCCACAGAAACAGCCATCCAACATTGAGGCCATTATTCAGAATCCACATCACATAGAAAGGTATTGGCAGCAAGTCTGGCTTTATGTAGACACATCCAAGTTCATTCCTGCCAGGAAAAAGTGAGTATGGAGAAAGGAAAATAAATGCCTGCATTCACCAAACTTTCTTGGCCTCATTTTCCTCATACTAATAGCTACTCTATGTTCAGTTAAACACTGCAGCTTACATCAGACTATTTCTCCTCTGACATATAACAGAGTCCCTGTGCTTTCCCCCATCAGAATCATAGAATGGTTTGGGTTGAAAGGAACCTTAAAGATCATCCAGTTCCACCCCCCTGCCCTGGGCAGGAACACCTCCCACCAGACCAGGTTGCTCAAAGCCCCCTCCAGCCTGGCCTTGAACCCCTCCAGGGATGGGGCAGCCACAGATTCTTGGGGCAACCTGGGCCAGTGCCTCACCACCGTGGTACAGAACTTCTCACTGGTCTCTGCACCACCACAGGTTCAGCAGGTGCTAAGGACTGTGCCATGGATGCTGCAAAGCTTGCACCAAAGGTGGTGGGATCAATGGCACAGTCAGGAGATTTTTAGCCTAGCTCTTGGAAAAAAAAACAAACAACTGGCATAGTAGTATAATTATGTGCATGTATGTATTTTTGCATTATATTCTACATGCATGTGTATGGACTATCACTCTTGTACAAACACATACTTCCTTCTTCCCTCAACCTTCTGTGCTGGCCAGTATCAACTGCATGACTTCTTACATGTCACGTGAAAACAGGAGTTACACAAGAGTCAAGCTAAGCAGTCCATGGCCTCCCTTGACAAGAGAGCAGCGATGCAAGGCTGTCCCACAGAAAACAGCACAGATCACAGATATTGCGTAGTACTGCACGAGTTATTGACCTCCCAGCCCCAGGAAAACCTTCAAGTCCACTTCAACAACCCAAGAGCCTTCTCAATGCCAATGCTCTGATCTCTAACAGCAAGTAAACTCACAGCATTAGCTCCATAATTGTCCCCGTGGATTCTCAGCATCTAGCAATGGGTAAGTGCAGCTACTGGGTAACTCGTCAGAACCACACGAATTAGTGGAAATCAGGCCTCAACAGAACAGTTTACAAGCTTTGTGGCCTGTCCACACATGAGAGCAGTTCATACACCCTTCCAAACTGCTTCCCAGCTTTGGATGCTGAACTTAGAAGATGCTCCAGTAGCAGAGCTTCAGCATGTCAAGTCAAGAGGAATGGCGGTGTGTTTTCTCTGACTAGAAACCCCAGGAAAGGAGGCAAGAGGCCGAGCTACAGAATGTAAGAGCTGCTGTCCATCATTTATACCATAATCAGGGAAAATACCTTCGACAGATCCCTGACAAGGCATAGAGAAGCCAGGCCAGCTGCCAGGCATAGATGACATTCCAGATGAGGAAAGTCCAGCCAGCTGGTGTGAAGTCAGTGTTGTACTTTGCCGAGATGTTTCCAGGGGTTGTCCTGAACAGACCTGCAGAGGTGAACGTTATTGCAGGCAAAAGTGTTACTACATACTAACGATGGGGAAAGGAGGCTGATTTCCCTCACCCTGCAATCTTCCCAAAGGCTTAGTCCACACCTTGGTGGATCCAAGGGCAATGAGAGGATGTCCTTGGTGAAAACAAGCCACGTGCTGCAGTTGGCCTGCATTTGGACACTCATAATGGGATCTCTGTGGGGAACCCTGGGCAGCTTCCCTCTTCCACAGAGCCAGAAAAGCTGGTTGCACGTGAAAGCCAGAGAGAAGCACATTTCAGATGGATTCAGCTTGGTGGTGTTCAAACCAAGCACCGCTGCCCAAACAGCTTCCACCAGGGACACTAAATCTGAATTCACCAGGAATAAGACCATCTTCTCTGATTTTGAGGGCCTGGAGAGGACTCGGGCACTTTACTGTAACACCTGCAGGATGCACCAGCCACCTCTATCGCTCACAAATCAAGGTGTATTTGGTAAAGCAATCACATGACAAACAGATTTATCTCATCCAAGGCACCTTATGTCATTTGAGGATATGATTGCATGAAACCCACCTCTCTGAACAAAGACAGTTTGCTGGCATTACCTTTGAATATCCCAGTGGCGTTTCCAGCATTCAGTATCACCATGACTGTGAAAGTAGCCAGAGACAGAAACATCACAAAAATTTTCAGCTTGTATATGGCATCCATTTTACCCTGCAAAAAATTAGAAATATTGTTTGGCCATCCTAATGCATGCCTGGGTTTGTTCCACATCCCAAAGACTGTTTTAGAAATAAGGTAGTAAGATCCCCCAGTTTTAACTGCTAACTTTTACTTGGTGCTTATTTTTAATTGTTCCTTAAAAACTAAAAGAGCCCTTACACAAGATAGGACCATCTTTGCTGGAACCAGCATCCTTTTAACAGCAGTCAGGGTTGGCAACCCAGAGAATAGCCCATAAACAGCACAAGCAGCAGATACTTCCCCAGAATACTCTTCCAGCAGCTCCAGAACTTATAGTAGTAACACCTTTAATAGTCTCATGTTTTTTTTATGACTGTAAACTCTCCAGATCCATGAAGTGACCTGATAATATGTGGGAAAAACCTGTCTGAGATTGGCTGCTACCTCCCTCTGCCAGCCCCTAGCAACACCCCCATATACCTTTCAGATGGAGATGGCACACCATAAACACCTGGGAAGGCCACCTGTTTTCTGGACAACCCCAAGGCACAGAAGCAGAAGAGAACCTTGCTAAGGTTGCAGGATTGAATTGGGAAGCCATGGAGTGCCCAGCAAGCAACCTGCTCTGCCACCACCCACCACACAAGAGAAGCATGGCCAGCAGGTCGAGGGAGGGGATTCTGCCCCTCTGCTCTGGTGAGATCCCACCTGGAGCACTGTGTCCAGCTCTGGAGTCCTCAGCACAGGAAGGACATGGACCTGTTAGAATAGGTCAGAGGAGGCCACGGAGATGCTGCAAGGGCTGGAGCCCCTCTGCTGGGAGGACAGGCTGAGAGAGTTGGGGAGGTTCAGCCTGGAGAAGAGAAGGCTCTGGGGAGACCTTAGAGCCCCTTCCAGTCCCTAAGGAGGCTTCAGGAGAGATGGGGAGGGACTCTGGATCAGGGAGGGGAGCCATAGGAGGAGGGGGAAGGGTTTTAAACTGAAAGAGGAGAGATTGAGATGAGATACTAAGAAGAACTTGTTTGGTGTGAGGGTGGTGAGAGCCTGGCCCAGGTTGCCCCGAGAAGCTGTGGCTGCCCCATCCCTGGAGGGGTTCAAGGCCAGGTTGGAGGGGGCTTGGAGCAACCTGGTGTGGTGGGAGGTGTCCCTTCCCAGGGCAGGGGGTTGGAACTGGATGATCTTAAAGGCCACTTCCCACCCAAACCATTCTATGACATAGCTCAGGTTTGCCTATGGATCTATTGCAAATGTTTTCAAGCAATAAATAATGAGCAAGTGTAAAAGAGGGATTCCAGCTTATCCTACATCACTATTGCAGTTTTGCTGAAGCAAGCAGGCCTATCACTTTTCCCTTCTTCAGGAAGGAAATATGAAAACATTAAAATGTGGCTTTGCAGCTGAGTGCCTTCTAGTTCAGTATAGCTTTTCACATGTACCTCTAATCCTCTACTCCTAAAAAGTAATCACCTCTTTTCTTGGTGGTATTACCTCCTCATCTACTGGCTGCATAAAAAGATTCAAACTATTTAGCAGCTCTCAAGAACCTTATAGATTGTAAAAATCTACAAATCTTGAAAAAGTAAATAAATATAGTAAGTAGTGACTTGACCTCTCCAGAGTGATCTCTAGTAGGTCAATATTTTTCTTTCAAGGAAAATTTTTGTGCCACCTGTTAGAGTAAACACACATGCATCTACACTGCAGACAACAGCTTTATTTCCCTCTCACAGCTCAGCCCTTGAGCTGCCTTCTCTATACAATGGCACTTCAGTGCCTTCCAGGGTTGGCAGGAATAATAGAGTGTTTCAAGCTGCTCAGCACTGAGCTAATAAATTCCATTTCCCACTTCAGTGGATGCTTTTACAGTTCCGGGCTTTGTTCATGGGCTGAGCTGCCTCCAGATAGATCATAAGGAAGCAGGAGGGGAAATTCTGTTTTCTGTAAACCCATACAAGCTTTTCCTTTTTCAGTTAAATCTCAAAAGAAAACCACTTTTTTTTTTTTTAATTAAAATCGTAAGTAGGAGAGCTCATTTAACTCAAGATGCCAAATCCCAGTTAGATTTGTCAGTCAAATCCCAAAACAACACATTGCCTTCAACAGATACACTGAATTAGTGAATTCTCAAAAGATAAATCCACTTGTCTTAAAGATATAATTTCTGACTCATGAAATAACTGGCCTGAGTATTTCTGAAAGCCCGGAAAATGGAGGAGAGGAAATATCACTATTCTTATATTCTCCCCTTGAACATTGAATTTTGGCCACTCCAAATCAGTAAGTGGGAATAGATGGTCCTTTGATCTCACAGTCTATGTTCTCCTGACAGTCCTGTAACTAATTTCAGCACCTCGTTTCTTCCTTTTTTTTTTTTTTTAATCAGCATATTTGGAAAAGCCTTGATTGCACAGCTTCAGAGAAACCCATACTTGCCTACAGAAGCCTCTGGGGAAAGACTTCCCTTAAAACCGGTCAATAGTTTCACTACTGCTTCTCACCTCCTGTCTCCCTTTAATTTATTGCTGGCAACACACATCTGCAATATTTCCCTGCCTGCAGTTATCAGCTGCAAACACCCTTGAGAAAAAAAAATAAATCAGAAATATTACTCACAACAATCCACGCAGGCTTTTTTTTTTTTTACAGCTGTGGCCCAGCTACCACCAGCGCCGGGGAGTCTCCGCCGCTCACCCTTATCAAAAGAGACAGTTTTACACAACTTCCAGCAGATTAATAATCAGGCATTATTTAAAAAAAAAAAAAAAAGTCACAGGAGTTAGACATGCTTTCCGCCCGCGAGCTGCAGCCTCCCATTGGCTAACACCTCCCAAAAACAAGCCCTTATGCAAGAGAAACGTGATTACTTAACGAGGGCCTTTTATAACCAGCGGAGCCTCCCAGCTTGCTGGCAGACAAAAGCCAGTGAGCTCCCCCCTGCTTCATCCGTCCTTCCCTGTCTCTGCCACAAGGAGGGAAACCCAGGGCTCCCATCCAAAAAAATACTGGATCTCAAAAAAAAAATTTAAAAAAAATAAATCAAAGCTAGGGAAGTAGAACTGCATGGGAAAGGGGATGCTGGCAGGGGTAGAAACTGCAGGGAGAGCCTGGATTTGGGGGGTTTAGGGAAGCTGGAGATGTAACACATCGCAAGGTCTACAGCCGGTCAGCAGCTACGGATCTTCCTATAGCCTGGGCTCCTCTCAGGACTTGGCACTCAGGGACATTTTATAGTGTTTAACTTTGCACAGATACAAGTAATTTCTCCTGCACGGCTGGCACTTGTATACCCACCCTCTATTTTTATACTGCACACCTATTCCTTGCAGTGCAACACGTACTCTGTTGAAAAATCCCCAAACCTGGCCTCCAAGCTGGGCTGTTAAAAGTAATTCCTAAATCTGAAGGACTCTAGAAACCCCAGGGAGAACCTTCCTGATGTCAGAATCAGGAAGGGGAAGGAAAGATGAGAAGATAACCCCAAACCTGAAGTGCTAAATTGCCTTTCCAAGGTGTTTTTTTTTTGGGGGGGGAGG